TTTGAGTTGAATTACTGAAATAAATGAACTTTTACACGACATTCTCATTTATTGAGATGCACCTGTATATTAAAATGCCACACATAAATAACATCATTTTAAAATGTGTACCTTGCACTAACCGAGCGACTTCAGTTAACAAACATGAATCAGTGCATGGAAGTGAACTACATGTGATTCATTCATTAAAAGATTCATTCAAAAATGAACAAACACTAGTGTTTAGGGGAGCGTGTGATTATTTCCTCATATGTTTAATAAAACAGTAACATATCTAGCTCCTTGGACAGAATAGCTTAGCCATTCACACAGAAAGCCTCTTTGCATTTTTGAACACTGTTGTGTGCGACACGCAAGTGTAACAGCCAAAGATGTCCGCCTAGCTACACAGATAAACAACAAAAAAGTAGCGCAGTTGAATGGAAAAACACATTCTGTGGGAACCAACACTGTCTACCTTTTGTTTTTCTGTCAAAGGTAAAAGGAAAATCAATTTGGACAGACTTCCTCCGAAAACACCAGATAAATGTGATCCTATGCTGTCATTCGACGCGGTGACAGGCATGCAGCAGGAGCTTGTTTTCTTTAAAGACAGGTAGTCTGGCTCCATGTGTGTACATTGCCTCATTGACTTTAGTACTTACTACAGTTGCACTACAGTGTCTGACTGATACTCCTCTTGCAGGTTTATTTGGCGGGTACATCCCAGTTTTGAGCAAATAGGAATCACACTAATAACAAGTTTGTGGCCTGACCTCCCAGCTCACATAGATGCTGCCTATGAGAACACAAACACAAATAGCATGCTAGTTTTCAAAGGTGAGGCTTTCATAACTCAACGTCATCATAAATATAATGGAATCGTTTTAGTGTTGTATGTCTCACTCAGGCCCTCGATACTGGGAGGTGAGCTCTCTCCAGGTAAAGCATGGTTATCCAAGAAACATCTCGGAATTTGGATTCCCATCCACTGTTAAGAGCATCGATGCAGCTTTGTATTTCCGGGAAACACGTCTCATAGATTTCTTCATTGGTGGAGCATGCTGGAGGCATGAGAAACTGAATAAAATCTTGTTAACAGTTATTTTGCCAAGTGTTTACATCTTTCTCTGAAGGAAGTGCTTGTGTTTTCTGCCATGTGAAGGTTTGATGAAGATGTAGGGCAGATAATGGAAGGTTTTCCTAAACCTATCGCACATGAATGGCCGGGAGCTGACTCACCTGTGGATGCTGCAGTAGCTCATGATGGTTGGTATCCCCTGTAGAAACAATCCACACAAGCATGTATAATACAGCAGATTTTTTATTTATAGAGTAGATACAT